CATTTCTACACTAACATCATCTCTTTGAGACACGTTTGACTTTGCTACTACTTCACCGTGCCATATCCATCCTGTATAACTTTGACAAATCCCTACACAAATTAGATGATCCATGATTTCTTTCTTACTGCGTTTTGGTTCTTTATTTGCACAACGAACACATGGACAGAGAAAAAGTGTAGGAAGACTTTTTTCAACATTACTTTCAGCAAACTGTAGAAATTCCATCACTCCATGTTCGTACTCGTCATTTAATTGATTAGCTCTCATCCAACTACAATCCATAACTATGTTCACACGGAGGAAGGTCTGACGAACGGTGTGCCCGCGGCTGCGCTACTTCACGGAGATTCCGAGATTGTAAGTTGCGCTGCTTCGCGGAGAAAGAAAAATAGAATCAAATTTCAATGGCAAGGTGATAACTCTATTAAGTTTGATAGGTTAAAGATAAACTGTGTGTTACTGAGAGGACCAGTAACGCTTTTTTCGGAGGTTTCTAAATAGACAATTTCTCTAATGAAAAAGAATGACTAATTATACACAACATGTACTATATTCTTAACTTTATACAAAATATATACTATTTATAACTAATTAGACTTAATTAGCCTCTCTAATAATAATAAACTGTTTAGTAATTAAAAAACATATATGAACAAAGTAATGGATTCATAGTATAATCTTCTAATTATTTTTCTATGTACTTCTAATTTTTTATAATGAATCTCAGTAACAAACAAAGAAACAAGAATGTCTTAAAAACTTTTTTGTATATATAACTCTTAGAAACTAAAACACCAATGTTTGTCTTTGGAATACAAAAGTTGCTTGACATTGAAATATCAACTTACCCATGAGCCTCTTCAACCTAGAAGCCAACATCTTGGAAATAATTCTATATAAACTTTCAACCAATTCCTAGATATACAATGAAGTTGAACAAAATAAAAAGTTTCATACCGTAATCATAGTTGGACGGCGGAGGATGTTTCGAAGACGGCGAACGGACGGCTTACGAACGGCGACGGACGGCGAAACGGACGACGGAGGATGTCTTCGTACGTTTAGGCGGACGATGGGAAAGCTGTGAGGAGCGGCGTAGGCGAGACGGCTTACGGACGACGTAGGCGATACCGGTGCGGCGAGGATGTCTTGGGTTTCTGTTTGAACAGTAACAAAATAATTTGATTTAGGGGTTAGTTCAACATTATATATATATAACTTTTTACATCGGTGCAACCCTTCGCCCGATGCAATGGTTTATGCGCTGATGTTTTTTACATCGGTTTACAGAAGGACGGACGTAAGGTACACATGTTTTTACATCGGTGCAATCCTTGGCCCGATGCAAGGTTCTGGCACTGATGTTTTTTACATCGGTTTATAGAAGGACCGATGTAAGCTAGTTTTTTACATCGGTTTAAAGGATGACCCGATGTAAGGTTCGGGCGGTTGATGTTTTTTACATCGGTTTTTATGATTCCCCGATGTAAGCTTTTTAATATATTTTTTATATTACCAATCTGCCAAGGACTTTTTACATCGGTTGACTGCAGGGACCGATGTAATATCTGGCCAGTTTTTTATATACAATTCCACCACCTGATTTCTTATTTACAAAAATGTCACTGTGTTTTTTTCACGAAACCTTTTACATCGGCTGATTAAATGGACCGATGTAAAAGATAGCGAAAAATATTTTTTTCATATTATTTATATCATTGCAAATAAATATCTGATGTAAAATGTTTTTAATTTTATTTTTTACATCATATATTTTGATACCTGATGTAAAAACCTTTTCTCAAATGTCATTTTTTTAGTAGTGTAAGTTCACTTAAAAAAATGTTAATTATTTGGGTGTAGGGATATTTTGGGGTGTAATAAAAATAATCATTCTCTTTTTGTTATAATATCAAACTTATTCATAAGTGTTTATATGATAAGCTGTTTATCTAATGATATAATATTTATGCTTTAAGTGCTTAGTTAATTAGTATTTCTTGTGTTTTAAGTGACTGAATTTCTTTAACCAATTAATTTTACATATATTTTTTCTTGTCTCAGACAACATTCTATGTATTTGTAAGGCCCCTCGTAGTAAAATATTTGTTTCATATTTTCATCTATATAAGTTATCTCAAAGATAATTTTTTTAATTCTAATAAACAATTACATAAATATATTATGAACAAATGTGTTTAAATCTTATTTTATAATTTGTTAATGTTGATACTTAAACAATATAGATATGATTGCTATTAATTACTTTTAATATTTATTAAAAGTTTATTTATAATTGAGTAAAAAAACCTGTAGGATTTGAAAAAAAAAATGTATATTTTTTTTCCAGATACCATTGGAACTGGAACAATATATAAAGGTATATGTAATACAAAAACCCGTTGCTGATCACATAGTAAAGTGCACAGATAACATGGCCGCCAGCGATTTACAATTTGGTTTTTATCGACGGCAGAATGACATATAGTGATGGATTTTGTCCGTCGCTATAGGATAATTTTCTTGTAGTGCAATGGATACTCATATTATAATTATTCATATCTACCGAGTTTAAGAAATAATACATGAATTATAAGATGAATATTGAGCTCCAATGGTGTAGAAACATAGAAACTTTCTAGCAATCTCTTTTATGGAAAAGCTCGGAACCCTTGCAAATTACAAAAGTTTTCCTTTTATACATATAGGCTTCAACGCACATGATCGTGCCATGATAGGTTGCATCGCATCACAATTCGTTCTTAAGTCCACTTGTTAGCGTGTGATTGGATGTTGAATCATGCCACGATCTATAACCATGGTGACGCTATTTCAATAAACTTCTTCTTCATTCACTGTAGGCTTGCGTTGCACTGCGATCCTTCCAAATTGCGGGTTATTTTTGCAAGAATAGTTTTCTCAGTTTCATGCTCTTATGTGTTATTCTCGCTTTGTCTCTCGTTATTGTCACCTCCACAATGTTCAAACATTATGAAGTTGTCGAGTTAGAGCAATTCATGATGAACTAAGAGTTTCAACGATAGTCTTGACAGTAGCTATAATTTACTAAAACTCATGCAAAGTTAATTGCAAATCTAGTTAAAATACTACTATAAAATAACTAAAAAATATACTAGTATGATTAAGTGTCAACAATGAACATCATGAGGTGTGTACTATCATAAACATATTGAAATATATTAAGTGATGAACAAGTTGATGTTGTGGCAGATAACATTTGTACATGATGTACTTACGAAGATTTTTTTTTATTTTTTAAAATTGTTGATTTATAAATATCAACAACTTGTTTATCTTTTAATTTAAAAAAAATACAAATAAAAACTGCTACTAGAAATTGAACCCTAAACCAACAGTCTAACCATAAAGATTGGTCTTGTTGAAGTATGAATTCTTATCAATTGTTACCCTACAGGTTCTGATGGTAGTGGTTGAGAACTTCTAGAGATACATGTTACATCATGATATGCACAAGTGTTTGTGGATTGTACTTTTTGTACTTTATTCACTTGTATATTGAATTTGTTAAAGTGACTGCAGATCATTTCAAGTGCTTTCGAATTTGGAAATTTCCCAACATGTAAGAGCATCTTGAAACTCTTTTAACACTTAAGGCAATTGAAATATTTATTTTCATTTATTCTAACACTTTTTTTATGGACATGTGAGATTCTTGGTGCTGGCACACATTGTAATAGATATTCAGAGCATGCAACACAACTAATTGCGGGTTGTCACATAACCTCAAACAAATTCTTGTATAGATCCTCTTGTGACTCAAACACAAGTGTGTTGTAGCCGATGCTACTCTTATTCTTTCATTGCTGAGTATGCAATTCACTTGTTGATATGAGTGACTTCTAGATTGTACACTTTTATGATTTGTGTTCTTTCAACACAAACTCAAATGCAAACATTAGTAGAAACTTCATATTTACTTCCTAAGGTTTGTTATAATTAAAACATAGATTAAAAAGGTTTTTGGCTCAACAATTTTCATTATATTTTAAATCATTTTAAATGTAGAAGTAAGGGATAAATTCATCTCTTGAATAATGAACAAAACAAAACTTGGGTTTCAATCTTGCGGTGTGCGTTGGAGAGCAAATGAAACAATTTGTTATTCCCATGTCATACTTGAACCAATCTTCATTTCAATTGGAAAGCTTCCGAAAGCTATAAACTCGTCCAAAGCTTTTCGTGACACTGTCTGATACTAGAAAGCAGCAGTAAGCCATCAACTTTATGGCAGTTTGGCACTTATTCATGGTTCTGATAGTTGAGTTGAAAAAAAACATGGGGCCTTATTCTGATATGCAGAAGACAAATCATTGAACAACTTTTATCAGCAAGAGTTAAAGTTTGGAGCTGTAGTTCACCTAATAATCTTGGCAAAGCAGTTGTTTTTTACCAAAAAGCACCATGTTGCATGAACTATATGAGAGCTTTATTACTTACTTGTATCCAGATAAGTGGACTTGCTTCCTGATTATTAGATTAGAACAAATGTTAATACGTTTTGCACGGAAAATAATCAAAAGACACAAGATATTTGGTAGGAAATGCATATCTCCTTATCAAGAAGGAAGATACCCATCTTGAATCTAAACCAAAACAAAACCTTTTGACAATCCCTTACAAATGGCCGCAGACATTGCTGTCTATGTCCGCTAAATTAATTTATAGAGCAAGCAATCCATTCAGAAAAGAACATGTGCCATGTCTGAAAAGAAATGAGTAGGCATGGTACAAGCATTGAGTTATGAGCCTTTCGTTAAGAAGGAGTGGTTGACACGCTTATCAGACTAATTGAACTTTGACAAAGGCATCTAAGACAACACCATGTGATCTCTCATCTCATGGCCCCCATCATTATAAAAATAATATCTCTAGCAAAGGTATTTCAAGAAACTCTTGGAAACTATAAATATAGTGTCCTCCTCACAACCATCACAAATCACTAAAGCAATCAAACACATACATTTTTCTTACATCTAAGAAATTCAGTTTTTTCTTCAAAGCGTTTGAAATGGGTTTCCGTTTACCTGCAGCTATTAGACGGTCATCACCTAGCAGTATTCAAACATCCTCAAGAGCATTGAATGTGCCAAAGGGGTATCTTGGAGTGTACGTCGGAGAGGAAAGGAAGCGGTTTGTTATCCCCATGTCATATTTGAACCAATCTTCATTTCAAAACTTGTTGAGTGAATCAGAGGAAGAGTTCGGATATGATCATCCAATGGGTGGCCTCACAATTCCTTGCACACAAGATGTTTTCTTGCATATTACTTCTCGCTTCAACGGGCAATAGATCCTACAATGAAGGATACTGACATGGATTAGCAGACATCTTGTACAATAGATTAGTCACAATTTTTTACTTGTAAAGATTTTTTTCCCTTTCCTACTTTTGGAAGGGGTTAGAACTGTTCATCTGAACGACAAATTCAGAAAGAGATTATTTGTTAGTTTTCTAATCATAACGACACAATATATTCAACAACTCAATGGTCTCCTCTATGCTTTTACTTATAAATTATAAAATTACAAAGCTGTTGATTCCTTGCGAATTTCTCAGACCTAATAAAACTTTAAGCCAAACTCTAATAGTATATAAGCTACCTTGAATTTAAGCTTACAAATTTCTTACATGACTTATGCTTCTATCAACTGCATCTTCATCTAGGCAGAGCAATTAAGCTGTCATAAATAAATAAAAAAGCTCCTTCAACTATTCCAACTCCCGTGGGATTCACTCATAAACTTCCATGAACCCGATCTTTTAAAGCTAGTGATGATTATAAGGAATATATTACCATTTGTACTCATTATTTTGGTCAATTTCTCTTTAACTTTTGCTACAAGGGTGGTGAAAAAGAAGTGTATAACAAGCAACTCATGAGATCATTTTTTTTTCTACTACTTTGAAAAGAGACTAACAAGACAAAAATATTTGCAGATCACATGTTTCAGTGGCCGACTGCATGACTAAACAAAGAATGTATTAATATTATAGACGTGCAATTAATTAGATTCTAAAACAGAAGCTAATCCCATCAAATAATAGAGTTCAGATTTACCACTTCTTAACCCAATTGTGGAAAGTCTCGCACTGCCAGTTCTCCAAGTCCAGCCATAATCTACAAATAGAATGGATGTAAAACATGAATTTCAAGTATCAAATAATTTAATCTCAATTGGAAATTTAAAAGTTCTCAAGAGCTAGAAACTCGTCGCAATTGGTCTCTCATTCATGACTGAAGATCTTATCTCTTACTATGTTTACTCATGGCTATGATTCTTGAGTTTGAAAAATAACATATTCTGAGTTTAATTGTTAGGCAATGTGGGTGTAAAAATTTTTACACTATCGGCAAACCACAATCATTCAAATATGTATGAAAATAGTTATAACTAAAAACAAAATATTTTCAATCATCTAACGGTTATAATTGGTTGACACTATAAAAAATCTTTATACTAACTGTGTATAAAAATCAAATCCTTATTCTTAAATGCAGAAAACAAATCATTGAACAACTTTTATCAGCACAAGTTAAAGCTTTGAGGTGTAGTTGTTGTTACCAAAATGCTTGACTTTGTTGAATGAATTATATGAGAGCTGCACATTGGACCTGCATCCTGATTATTAGACTAGTACAAATGTTAATACGTTTTGCACGGAATATAGTCAAAATTCTTAAAGTATTTGATAGGAAATGCAGATCTAATCAATTAGGTTTCCAACACACAGATGAGTGGTAGACACCTTACTTGTGAACAAAACATAGATTAGCATAGAAATTTTGAACAATAGTCATCATTAAGATTTGTAGAGAATTTTTTTTCCTTTTCCTATCCTTGGAACGGGTTAGAATTGTCCGTCTGAATGAAAATTCAGAAAGATTATTTGTTATTATTTATTCCTAATCATAATGACACAAGATATTCAAAAACTCAATGGGCTCCTTTCTGCTTCAAATTTATCTTGGTTTATTATAATGATAACATAAGTATACTACACGCTGTAAGCAAAATCTAGCTTGAATATCTCTTTAAATTTATCTAAACTAATAAAACATTCACCCAGACTCTAATAGTTGATAAGCTATGGTGTATCTAAGCTCCCAACTTGTTTACGTGTCTACATTTAGGCAGAGCAATATTTTATGCTATGATAAATAAGAAAGCTCCTCCAACTATTCCAACTTCCATGAGATCCAATCATCAGTTTGTTTAGCACAATAGCATGTGATAGAACATTGGAAAATAAGAAAGCTCAAGACACGTAAATAAGTTGGGAGCTTAAGAAAGCTACTTTGAGTTGGAAAAACGTTGGGCCTTATCCTACTAGCGAATTATTCTTAACAACAGAGTTTATTAAATTAAGGTTCTACTAGCTAATTATTCTTAGATGCAGAAAACAAATCATTGAGCAGCCCTTTATCAGCACAAGTTAAAGTTTTGAGCTATAGTCCGCCTTAAAATTTTGGCAGAGCAGTTGCTGCGGAACATATTCAAAAGACTGCAAATGTATAGGACTGTTGACTTGAAACTCAATATTCAGAATAGCATATTTTTTGTTACTTGTAGTTGTTTGTGGGTCCAAACATATACCTATCTCTTTTGAACTGTTGTTCAATTGCTATCTATCTTCTGTTCTGGTCAGCATGACTAATGACCAAGCCCTTGATATGTGTTCCTTGTAGCCTCCTAATATTAATATTTTGGAGCCAACTAACCATTATTATACACGCTAAGAAGAGAATTATTGGTGGCTGGCTATATATCGGTATTGAACCGCGTTATGGATAAGAAGAGAACATGTGACATGTCTACAAAAGTACTAGTAGCAATTTGAGTTCCAAGTCTTTCATTGAGAAGGTGGGGTATATATGCACTCTCTTATTGAACTTGATGGAGAGACATTCAAAGACAATACCATGTGGATCTCTCATCTCATGGACCCCATTTCTTTAAGAATAATTAATTTCTCAACAAAGTGGATATGAAGAAACTCTTGAATGAAGACTATAAAAATACACAACTTTGCTTCACAAATCACTCACTAACTCGAGCATCAAAAGATATATACCTGTTTTTCCCCCTTAAATATTGAGAGTTGTTCTTCAAAACATTTGAAATGGGTTTCCGTTTACCTGCAGCTATTAGACGTGCTTCATTAAGTAGCAGTCAAACATCATCAAAAGTGACAAACGTGCCAAAGGGATGTCTTGCGGTGTACGTTGGTGAGGAAATGAAGCGGTTTGTGATTCCGACATCATACTTGAACCAACCTTCATTTCAAAACTTGTTGAGTCAAGTAGAGGAAGAATTTGGATATGATCATCGAATGGGCGGCCTCACAATTCCTTGTACGGAAGATGTATTCTTGCATATAACTTCTGGCTTCAATGGTCTATAAATCTGCAACTGCAAGAGACTAACATAGATTAGTATTGAGATTTTGTAGAATATAGGCATGTTGTAAATATTGGGAAAATGGATGAAAATTGTGTATAGTAATGAAATACAAATACAATTAGGCAATCAATTATTTGATGTTTTGGCTAACACGGAGTTGAATTGAATTGAAAGCTATAATGTTATCTGTATTGGTGAACCATTTGATGTTTTCTATATCACAGATTTAATTGAAAGTTATAATGTTATCTATATTGGTGAAGCATTTGATTTTTCTATATCACAAAATTGAATTGAAAGCTATGATGTTAAAAATCATCATGAACACCACCTACCTGCATTGAAATTGAAAACAAAAAGAAAACCCTAAATTAAAAATCAGTGAGAAAAGGAACAAAACCTAATTGAAAGGAAAAGAAAACCCTAAATGAACAAAACCCTAAACGCAAAATCAAAGAGAAAAGGAAGCATATAAACGCTTTAATAAAATATTATGCAGGCGATGTGGGACTAAAAGCAAGTAACACAATATAATAATATGCAAATACTAACTTACATGAACCCGACCTTTTAAAGCTTGTGGTGATTATAAAGAATATATTACCATCTGTACTTATTATTTTGGTCAATTTCTCTTTAATTTTTGCTACAAGGATGGTGCAAAAGAGCTGTATAATCACTCTAGGGAAGACTTTTTTTTTACTTTTAACAAGCAACATAATTCATTTTTGCACTAAAGCATGATAATTCAAGTTATCAATTTTTTCTTCTACTACTTTGAAAAGAGACTAACTAGACAAAAAAAATTGTAGATCACATGTTTCACGGGCTGAATTGCATCATGACAAAACAGAGAATGTATTAATATTATAGACGCACAATTAATTAGATTCTGAAACAGAAGCTAATCCCATCAAATAATAGAGTTTAGATTGACCACTTCTTAACCCAATTGTGGAAAGTCTCCCACTGCCAGTTATCCAAGTCCAGCCATAATCTACAAATAGAATGGATGCAAAACATGAATTTCAAGTATCAAATAATCTAATCTCAATTGGAAATTTAAAAGTTCGTAAGAGCTAGAAACTCATCGCAATTGGTCTTTTATTCATGACTGAATATCTTATCTCTTACTATGTTTATTCATGACTATGATACTTGAGTTTGAAAAAACATTGGGCCTTATCATGAGTTTAACTGCTATGCATTGTCAGGATAGAAAGTTTTGCATTATCAGCAAACCTCAACTATTCAAATATCTGACTTTGAAAATAGTTATGATAAAAATCCAATATATTTAATCATCTCACAGTTATAATTGATTGACACTGTAAAAATATCTTTGCACTGATAGAGTACATAAATTAAATCCTCACTATGTATATGACAAAGCAGTTGTTATCAAAAAGCTTGATTGTGTTGAGGGATGTGTTACTTTTGTGTTAATACCTTTTGCACAGAAAATAATCAAAAGTCATAAGATATTTGGTAGAAAATGTAGATCTACTCATAAAGATGAGAGGTTGACACCTTATCTCAAACTAGTTTAGTCAGTATGGCCCATTTGTATCTCCTTATCAAGAAACAGCAGAAACCAATCTTGAATCTCTGACTAAAATAAAACTTTTTCTAACCTCTTTTGCAAGTCCCTTACAAATGACCATAGACACTGTTGTCTATGTCTGCTAAATTAACTGAGAGTTTAAAAATTAGAACATCCATTCAGAAAATGCCAAGGAATTTGAACATCAGAATTAATTGTTGAAGTAAATGGTTTAAAAATTAGTAGGTTTTCTTACCTGTGCATAGCACTTTCATTTTCAAAGTTGAAACAGCTTTGTAATGTGGGACATAACTTTAACTCAACCAAGTCTTAAGAAAGACCT